TTTTGGGGTCCAAAATGGCGGTCGCGTTGTGCGCGGCCGGGCGGCAGCTGAACCGGGCGGCGGCGGCGGCGGCGATGGCGGCAGGGTTCCGCCTGGGGCGGTAAGTCCGCCAACCTGGGCCGGAAATGGCCCGCGGGCCGTAGGTTGCCGACCCCTGATGTAAGCAAACAGATTTCATCCGGCAGGCCATTCCATAATCTAGGGGCGACGATGGAAAATGCCCTCTGGGAGGTAGTTGAAAGCCTAGATTTTTATGGCTGGAGTAAACTCCTCCCAGAGAACCGGAGTGCGTGGGAGGATTAAAGGGGAGAAAGTGGTCCCAAAGATAGTTTGGACCCAAGCCATTTAGGGCTTTAAAGGTAATAACCAACACCTTGTACTGGGCTCAGAAACTAATAGGCAGCCAGCGGAGGGACTTTAGAACCGGAGTAATATGGTCCCTCCTAGATGTTCCAGAGACTACTCTGGCTACCATGTTCTGTACTAACTGCAGTTTCCAGACCAAACACGAGGGTAGCTCCATATAGAGCACATTACAGAAATCTAGACAGGAGGTTACCAGCACATGCACAACAGTCTCAAGATCCCTTGCTTCCAGAAAAGGGTGCAGCTGGCGTATCAGCCGAAGCTGATATCAGGCGCTCCTGACTGTTGCATTTACCTGATTTGTCATCAAGAGCAACGAGTCAAGGAGCACCCCCAGACTGCAAACACAGTCCTTGACGGAGAGTGTGACCCCATCCAGGACTGGAGGTTGCAACCCGATTCTTGGTTTTGGGGCCGCTACTGTGAGCACCTCCGTCTTGTCTGGATTCAGCTTCAATCTGTTTTTCCTCATCCAGCCCATTACTGCCCGAAGACATTCATTGAGAGAGGAGATGCCATCAGAATTCGAAACCGACGAACAAGACATGGAGAAATAGATTTGGGTGTCATCAGTGTACTGATAACACCCAGCTCCATAATTTCGAATGATCTCACCCAGCAGCTTCACTTTGCTCCTCTGCAATGCCAGGTCGGTCAAAAACAAGACACATATCATCCATGACCTTCTTTTGGATGAGGATGCTGACCTGGCATGCTTTACAGCAGGGGTAGACAACCTTTCCCCTTTAAGGGCCGAGGGACTTCAGCTCCCAGAAGCCTCAGCCATGTTGGCCAATAGTCCCATATTGGCAAATAGCTCCTGGGATTCTGGGAGCTGAAGTCCCTCGGCCCTTAAAGGGGAAAGGTTGCCTACCCCTGCTTTACAGAGACCTGGCTGGAAGAGGATAGTGCGGTTACTTGGGCGCAGGCCTTCCCAGCCGGGTATTCTGTTAGTGAGCAAATGAGGGGAAGTGGGCAAGGGATGGTGGAGTGGCTCTAGTTCATAAGAATAACTTGACTTTGACCAGGATACCTGTCCGGAACACAGTTCACTTCGAGTGTATGTACCTTAGCCTGAGGACCTGGGATAGTTTGGGGATTCTGCTAGTCTACCGACCACCCCGTGGTCTAGCAGACTCCCTAACTGAGCTGACACAGCTGGTCTCAAAGCTGCTGTTGGAGTCCCCCAGACTTTTAGTTCTTGGTGACTTCAACATCCCGCTCAAGACCAGTTTAACAGGTGCAGCTCGGGAGTTCATGGAAACCATGACTAACATAGGCCTATCCCAATTGGTCGTCGGATCCACACACTGTGCAGGTCATACACTCGATGCGGTCTTTAGTACCGAACAGGAACATCCGTTGGCAGAGGTGATTAATACCACTACCTTGATCATTTCCTGGTCAAAGTGGAACTAAGAGACTTTATCCGCCCCACCCCTCCCAGGGGTGGGGGGCTCATTAAAATGGTCCACCCTCAAAGGCTAATGGATCCAATTGGATTCCAGAAAGCCTTAGAGGGTTCAATGGTTGGAAATGCCGGTGACCCTGTCGAAGCTCTGGTCAATACTTGGAACATCGACCTTACCAGGGCTATCAACACGATCGCTCCCAAGCGTCCTTTCCAACCCACTTCAAACTGTAAGCCATGGTATACATCAGAGCTTAGGAAAATGAAGCGGGTTGGACGACTAGAATGCAATTGGCAAAAAACTTGACTCTCATCTGACAAGACTCACCATAGGAACTTTCTTTGGTCCTATCAGGAGGCAATATGTGCAGCGCAGAGATGTTTCTCCTCTGCACGTATTGCGTCTGCACAATCCCATCCAGTAGAGCTGTTTAGGGTGGTGAGGGAACTAACGCAGGTACCCCCTGCGCAGAACCCTTTACTTAACCTGACAATGGCCTGCTGTGATGCGTTTAACAACTTTTTCGCAGATAAAATCTCTATGATAAGAGCCAACTTACTGAGAATGAGCCTTTCCTCTGTCCTTAGGAAGAGCAGGAGGAATCTCAGGGCAAGAGGGCTGCTTTAAAAATGTGTGGAGAATACACACACAGAGAGTTGGCCCTCTGTAGGCACGGATTCTTTATCCATGGATTTAAGCATCCACAGCTTAAAAATATTTTTAAAAGATATAAATTCTGAAATGTAAACCTTGATTTTGCCATTTTATATAAGGGACACCATTTAACTATGATGGGCTTTGAGCATCCATGGATTTTAGTACCCATGGGAGGTACCAAACCCCAGAAGATATCAAGGGCTCACTATATGTGTGTGTGTGTGTGTGTGTGTGTGTGTGTGTTTAGGTTTTTTTGTTTATTTGTTTGTTTGAATGGCATATTGTGTGCAACTGTGTTTAATGCTTGATGTATCATGCTTAATGACATCAGAAGAAGAATAACGTCAGCAGGGCCTCTTCCCTGTGACATCAAAAGGGATGATCCCTAAGTCTCAGGTCTTGGATAATCCTGACTGGCAACCCTATTTGTCACAGATAAAAAAATGTCTCGACTCCACCATAAGATATGACCACACTGCACAATCATAGCACTTTAACTGCCATGGCTCCATTCTGTGGAATCTTGGGATTTGCAGTTTGGTGAGGTACTCTGGATTCCCTGATGGAGAGCTAAAGAGCTACGGTCATCACATGTCCTCTTTCACAGAGCTAAACTTTGTGTCCAGGTAAATTTTTAAAGTGTCTGTCGCTACTTTACCTCCTGCCCGGCCGATACCACCTCCCCATTGTTTCACCAAGAGCTCCGCTAGGAGAAAGAACAGAGGCCAGCTCAGCTGAGCACTCAGAGACAGAGAGAGACAGAGAGAGACAGAAACAGAGACAGAGACAGAGGCTGCATCCACATTGCAGAAATAATCCAGTTTGGCACCAGTTTAACTGCCATGGCTCAATGCTATGGAAGTCTGGGAATTAATTCCCAGAATTCCATAACATTGAGCCATGGCAGTTAAACTGGTGCCAAACTGGATTATTTCTGCAGTGCAGATACACCCAGAGGTTAGGGGAAAAGGAGACAGAGCTGGAAGGTAAGATAGTTTATGGAGGTCTAGATACACAGAAACGATGGAATAGGGTGGCTTTGTACAGTTTATCTAGCAGAGATATTTAAAGGGAGAATAGTGAGCCACTGTGGAGTAGTGGTTTGACTCTTGGGCTAGGAAACTGGGAGACCAGGGTTTGAATCCCCCAACTCAGCCATGGAAACCCACCAGGCATGCCACACTCTCTCAATCTCAAAGATAAATCCTCTCTGAACAAATTCTGCCCAGAAAACCCCTTTATAGGTTTACCTTAGGGTCACTGTAAGCAAAAATTACTTGTAGGCACACAACAACAGCCATAGTGATCCATGGTTTGAAGTGGCCACTAAATATGTCCTTGGATGCTTCTGAAATCATGGTAAACCTCAACTACAACACTTAGGCTGTCTAGCTGGGAACTTGAAATCCTGCACCAAAGTACAAATCCCAGAATTCCATAGGATTGAGCCATGGCAGTTCAAGTGGTATCAAAGTGCTCAACCTGTCTAGTGTAGATACACTCCATCAAGAGCCAAAGACAAAAGCTAAAGCCATGACTTACTTTATTGTTATTCCTAATTGTTGTAACATGCCTCGATCTGCAGGGAGAGGCGGGCTATAAATAAAATGTATTATCATTATCATTATCATTATCCTAAGTCTGGCCAGAATTAATGGGCAGGTGACCGGATGGTGTGCACACACATGCATTTACACACCCCTTTATACTGATTTTATTTTGCAACTGCTATATTTTTCTAGAACACTAGATGTCATTGTACAGCCACTCATCTAAGATAAATGTTCTTCTGCCTCATTCTTCCCTTATAACCAATAACCTAACCACCTTGTTTCTGCTTATCTGTGTGTGTGTGTGTGTTGTGTGCCTTCAAGTTATTTCCTATTTATGGTGACCCTAAGGCAAACCTATCCTGGAGTTTCCTTGGCAAGATTTGTTCAGAGGTTTGCCATTGCCTTCCTCTGAGACTGAGAGCATGTGGCTTGCCCAAGGTCACCCAGTGGATTTCATGGCCGAGCGGGAATCAAACCCTGGTCTCCAGAGTCATAATCCAGTGCTCAAATCACTATGCCATCCGGGCTTCTTTAACACATTTTAAATTGATCTGTGCTTTTTGCAATTCTGTGATGCCTGGTTTGTATCTCTTGCCACGAATGTACACCCAGAAAATGGACAAAGCAAAAACATTCGCACCCGTTTAAGTAACATAATTGACTTCAAGTGCTTCAAGACTTAAAAAAAAAAAAAACAATTTTTTTCTCCCCCAACATTAAGTGTGATAGTTTGTTACTCCCAAAGTATAGTAAGAGGAGTTTGCTTTCCTTAATAGGGGTGGTAGTAGTGATGGAGATGATGTCTTGCTAAAGATTTATCTCTGCTGGGCTTTGGACTCCCACACATTTGAGTGAGAGAAAGAACAATTTTCTAGGACACTGAGATCCTCATGGTAACAAAAAAGAGAAATGTCTTTTACCATGCATAACAAAGGATGAGTCATTTTTGTTCCTATTCGAAACACAATAATAGTACTGTTAGGTTTTTAAAAAACAACAACAACAAAAACAGTCACTGTAACAGAAATGGCCCAAGACTTCTTAGGGTGCATCTACACTGTAGAAATAATGCTGTTTGATGCCACTTTAACTGCCATGGTTTCATCCTACAGATTCCTGGGATTTGTAGTATTGAGGCACCAGCACTCTTTGGCAGAGAAGGCTAAAGACCTGGCAAAACTGCCAGGATTCCATAGGATGGAGTTACAGTATTTAAAACAGTGTCAAATTGCATTATTTCTGCAGTGTAGATGCACCCCCAGTGAGCTCCATGCAAACAGGGGACTCTGCACTATGGTGTACTACATGTATCTTTCATTGTTGTGGGTTTGAACAGTCTTCTCTCCTCTTCAATGTGAAGAGGTTTAATGCACCCTTATAGTGCCCGAGTCAGGAAAAAACAAATATCCCTCTGATGGTATTTTATATGCACACATGGAAACATATACACTTCAATAATTGACATTTTGCTGCCTTCCTCAGTTAATGAAGTACATGTGTTCCTGTATATTACTTCTTTAAGAGAACATTTGGTACCAGGGGCAAAAATGACATTGAAAGAATGAGTATAGCTTCCTGCACTCAAAAAAGAAAAGAAAAGAAAGAAAAGAAAAAGGTGAAAGGGAAAAGGGGGAAAAAAGAGAAATTCAATATGCTTCAGCAAACTTTTTAGCTAAAACTAACAACAGCCACACACAAAGTGAAACAGCCAGGTCAGGTAAGCTTTCCATAAGTAAATAGAAACATTTTGAACTTTCTAGGGATCACTTCAAGGCTTCTTCTAAAATGCACTCAGGGACCATTTTTATTCCTTCACAAGCCTCCTCTTTTCTTACGATTTTGATTTTTGTAGATAAACTTACAGATCTATGGTTCTTTTAAGATGAGATGGGCTTCTCTGCTTTCCCCTTTCTCTCTGTTTGCCTGCTCATACATATTCATTAAGGGATTTTGGAGGCAGCTGCTATTCACCTTGCCTGTTCTAGGCAGCCACACACATCTACAGTAGGACTGGCTAGAGAGAATCCCATTCTTTCCCATTTCAAACTTTATTGAATTTTTTTTTTACTTCAGGCATGCTGCTGAAACCAGTGTTTTTCTAGGCCTCTTTCACTATCCTCCCAATGCCAATACCGTTGGGGGGAAAACAAAAACCTTCTAGCTAGACAGATGACTAGAAGAAAAAAAAGGTCTGGTGAAGTGAATAAAGACTTTGGAAAAATAAACTTCTTTGTCAGAGGCTTTATTCATTGAGGTATGCCTGTATTCCCAAATCTACCATTAAATTTAGATTACCCAAGGCCAGAGTTGTGGCAGAATGAACCCTGTTCCATTAGCCTTTGTAGTTGGCCTTGATCAGAGACATTTTGCTCCTTGGAGCAAAGACATAATGAAGCCCACTTCACAAATAGCAGTCAGCTGGACTTGCACTTGAATCTTACTTCTACAGTGTAAAATCTACAGTATCCTCCACACATCTTACAGGGTGCATGACTGGTGTGGCACAGACAGCTGTATACACCAACACAATATATATTCTAGCTCCAGATCCAAGCTATATAGAGCTTTATGAGTCATAGCCAGCACATCAAAAAATGCAAGCAGCTGTGTTGTTCCATATCAACAAACAAATTCTAGCAGGTTTTTAACTCTCCACCAGAACGAGATCTGTAGTAAAGCTAATGGATCTTACCCCCTCAGCAGACGAGGGCGTCCAGGACGCCCTGCGCCGGCACGCCGCGGGGCCGCAGCCTCCGCATCTCGGCGCACCGGCAGCGTCCCTGGAAGGAGCGCTAAATCAGCGCTCCTTCCTCAAGACAGCAAAAGTGCGCCCTAAAAGCGGCGGGCGCACTTTCGCTGTCTTATCCTCTGCAGCGCGTCCGGTCGCTGCGGAGGGACGTTGCCCCGGAAGCGCCGGACGTGCGGAGGCCCGGCAGCTTCCAGGGCGACCTCAGGAAGAGGAAGGGGCGCCGAACGTGCGGCTGCCCCTCCTCTTCCGGGCCCGGAAGACGACTCAATTAGTCGTCTGCCGAGGCCCTTAATTGCCTGTTCAAGACTAAAGCTACCCCAAAATAAATAGCATTAGAGCAAGAATATATATATATATATATATTTCATATTTTATTTAATTGAATTTTTATACAATGTTAAAAAGAAACACAACATAAATTCATTACTTCTCAGAAGGAGTTCCTAGTTATTTAACTTAAGAGGAGTATTACAGTTCTATATCTCAATTTCCATTTACCTAAATCATACGAAGAACCTAATGCTTTATAAGGGCATTCATTGACGAAAAGAAAACATAGAAAGAACTGTTAGGCTGAATAATATATCTTATACATTCTTCCTAAGCTAAATATGTGGAAGTGGGAGGAAAATAGGAGAAAGAAGATAGGGAAGAGTGCATGAGATTTGCAAAGAAATAGAAATGATTATAAAACAACGATTATTGTCTAACTTTTTTTTTTAACAAGTCCATAAGTTTTCTACTTTCTTCCATTTATCCCTAAATTTGTCCTCTGTTTGGTTTTTTAGCGTCATTGTCAATTTGTCCATTTGCATTAAGTCATAAAGTTTAGTTTCCCATTCATGTTCAAGGTTTCCCTTTACTGCTTTCCAGTGTTTGGCAAATATTAGCCTTGCCACAGTAATCATGTATAGGATAACACCCATTTCTTCCTTGTTTATCTTTTCTTTCAATTCAGTTGTTATATTTAGTAAAAAGAGTTTAGGGTCCATGATATGGAACAACACAGCTGCTTGCATTTTTGATGTGCTTGCTATGACTCATAAAGCCCTATATAGCTTGGATCTGGAGCTAGGCTATCTGAAGGATCTTATCTTCTCACATAGGGCCTAAGCAGACTGCCAAAAATAGTGCACATTAAATTGAGG